GCTTCGTGGTGGCGACGCGGGCGGGCGCGGGCGGCGTGGTGCCCGCCAAGCGCGTCGTGCTGGCCGTCTCGGCGCTGCGCTTGTGCCGCGCGCACCAGAGCCCCAAGGCGGGCTGCGTGGGGCTGTGCGCGCAGCTGCACCTCTGCAAGTTCTTGGTCTACGGGGCCTGCAAGTTCATGAGGGCCGGGTAAGCGCCGCTCCGGGAGCCCGACGAGGGGCCCTGCCCTCCCAGCCCGCTTTGGGCCCCCCATTAAAGTGGGGGGACAACAGTAGGGGGCCGTTGCCCGGCCTCTCCGCCTTAGTTCTCGTCAGCGAACGTTTATTGAGCACCTACTGAATACCGGGCGCTGTGTGAGGGACCCGGGGTTTACGGTGTTCCCCCCCCCCCCCCCCAGCCGCAGAGAGTGACTTGGAGTGCGGTAGCCGGTGGGACACCCGGGGTGTGGCGGGGGTGGGGGGGGCTCTCCAGAGAAGCGGCCGCGGCTGGCTTCTGGCGCTCCACGAGGGCCCGCTCTCCAGAGCGAAGTTTGAGGGCCACACAGCCCAGGGCTTTCTCCGCCCGGCAGCCGAGGAATCTTAAAACCTGTCTCCACTCTTGCTCACTTGCTTACAAGCTGGCAGTGGCTTCTGTAGCATTTGGAAGAAAATGCGTGCTTCTGTTCAGAAGCTAGTCCATTTATGTAGAAGAATTGGCTCCTTTTTTCTTGACTTTTTTCCCTCTCTCTCCTCCCTCTCTTTTCTTTTCTTTTTTCCCCCCTGGCTTAACACAGTAGATGTTTCTTGCTCACATCAGGTCCACTAGTCAGCATGAGGTCGGGGTCTTGATCCATGCAGTCCTTCAGGGACCCAGGTTGGCGGACCTAGACTCCGCCTCCTCAAGCGTGGCTCTTAAGGCCATTCTGGGTATCAGGTTACAGGGAGCAGGTGGAGATGGGCGGTGGAGGGTTGGTGGGAGGTTTTTATATGGCCTGGTCTGGACGTGGTAGGTATCTTTCCACACATCCCCTGGACCACGAGATGTCTCATGACCCCCCTCATGCCTAGATGCAAGGGGGTGGGAGTAGGAAATGTGGTTCCCCCCCCCCCAGGCAGCTGCTCAGAAATAGCTTGATTAGAATATTCCAAGGCCCAGCTAAGACCTTAAGAGGGAGGGATGTGTTTGTGAGAAATTTGAGAGACGGGAAGTTGGTGTGAGTGTGGTGACAGGATGGGAGAGAGGTGATGGCTGTTTTCTTACTGTTGACTGAGAGATGACTCATACTTTTTTTTTTTTCTTATTATCGACTGAAGGATGATTCTTCCTTTTCTTTCTTATTGGCTGAGAGAGCAGGAGAAGTGTGCCCAGGGACAGCTAGCCAAGTCTCAAGCCTGGGAGCACGGTCAGGGTCCCAGGTGCTGGTTTGGGAGTTATTGATTGGTGTATGCCAACGCTGCAGCCCAAGGAGCAGGCCAGATCTGAGGTGGAGGCTGAGGGTGGAACCTCAGGGAAACTGGGCCTTCAGGAACTGGTGGAGAAGTGTCACCTCAGGGGAGAATTAGGAGCAGCATCTGGAGAAGAATGTGGACATGATAAATGATGGATAGATGGATTGAATGATGGGGATAACTGATGGATCTTGTTAATGTCGGTGTTTGGTAAAATAAAGACAGAAGCCCTGTTCTCCAGCCAGTTCCCAAAATTTGGAGTTGGATTGTGTTTGTCTTGGAAATCTGGAAGTCTGATACCTACTGGCCTAGATGATTCTGAGCTTTCTTTTTCATTCTTCTCGGTTCCATTTTCCTTCTGGTTCACCTAGGATGGTTTCTTGAACCTTCCTTCCCTGACTGCTTTTGGGTCACATAAGGGAGAGTGGGTGTGGTTGGCTGCCGTTTCGATGCTTTCCCTATTACTCTGCTTGTCTTCCTGAACCACAGCGTCAGCTGTTTCAGAAACAGATCATGGCTCCTGTTTTTGCTCATTGGTGACAGCTGGGAAGGGTCCCAGGTCCCTGACTTCTGTCCTGTGCTTAGGGGCAGTGAGCATGGTGGTTAAGAGCACAATCCCAAGACCAGCCTACCTTGTTTCAATCCTGGCTCTGTTCCTTACTAGCTCCATGATCTTGGGCAAGCGACTTTATATCCAAGCCTCAGTTCCCTCATCTGCAAAATGAGGATAATATCTAACTCACCTCATGGGCTTGTTGAGGACTGAATGACTTATAAAACCTTCAGGTAATCCCTCGTTTGTGATAAATGCTCAACAAGTTTTAGCAGCTGTTGTCACCATCCTCGTCATCGTAATCTTGGTGGCACCAAGTTTGCCTAGAATGTTTTTCTTTTCTCTCCTTGTTTGGTTCCTCAACCTAAATATTTGGCCCAGGCTTGACACCTTCCAGGCACTGTCCCTTGATTGCTTCTCCACTTCTCTCAGGCTCAGGAGGTGCCCCTCCTGTCTGCACTGATACATTCTGAGCACAGCTGACCTTGCACTTGCCCAGCCATTTTAGAATCCTTTCCGTATCTGTCACTTCCACTAGAGTAGAAAAGGGGAAGAGTCCACATGACTCCACGGTTGTTGGGCTGTGCCGTGGAAGAGGGAAGTTGTCTTTTACTGAGATGGGGGAGCCTATGGAAGGTGCTGGCTTGGGGGAGTCAATCAGGGGTTCGGCTTTCTTTTGAAATGCTTAAAATAAGCATGACCTTTGAGGTTTGGCAGTGTCTGAGTAAAGCAAATGATATTTGCCTAACTCTTCCGGGTCCTGGTGACCTGGGTGATCATTTGAAGACTTTGGATCATCAGGGCGTGGTGCCAGTGCCTGACTCACAGTGAATGTTCAACGGGGGCTTGTTAATGGAAAGAACAGAGGAGGGAAGCAGAGAAAAGGGCTGGGCCTCAAGGCACGAGTGGGTGTACACATACCTTTAACCATAGGTGTCCACGCTCATTTATTCAGCCATTGTTTAAGTGTCTGCTAAGTGCCCACTGACTGGCATGCTGTGACTGCTTGGGGAATGGCCCTGTCATTCTTACCAGACAGATAAGAGGTGCTGTCCTGGTCCCTAGAACTCGCAAGGTACTATCTCTTCCTTTGTAAATAAGCATTATGGTTTTTTCATTGTATAAACATGCTGATTTTTCTCTGGTGCTGCTAAGCAATGTCAAGAACTGTTGCTGAAAAATTATCTTAAAGACTGATTTTACTAGTTGTGTGAGTTTGTTCAGGCAGCCATAGCAAAGTACCCCAGACTGGGGGCTTAAATAGAAACTTCTCACAATTCTCAAGGCTGGAGGTCTAAGATCAAGGCAGGATTGATTTCTTTCTGAGGCCTCTCTCCTTGGCTTGCAGATGGTATTTTCTTCCTGTGTCCTTACATGTGTGAACCTGTGTTTTTATTTCATCTTCTTAGAAAATCTTCAGTCAGATTGGATTAGGTCCTCTACCCCAGCAACCTCTTTCTAACTTGATATGTTTGACTTTTTTTTTAACTTTTTAAAAGATTTTATTTATGTGAGAGAGAGTGTACAAGCAGGGGGGAAGGGCAGAGGAAAGGGAGAAGCAGACTCCCCGCTGAGCAGGGAGCTTGACTTGGGGCTCGATCCCAGGACCCTGAGATAATGACCTAAGCTGAAGGCAGACACTTAGCCAACTGAGCCACCCAGGTACCCCATTGATTACCTCTTTATAATCTATCTCCAAATACAGTCACTGGGGGGTTAGAACTCCAGCATAAGAATTTTGGGGAGGCGCAGTTGAACTGTGACACCAGCTCTGCTTCTTTGCAGGAAGAACTGTAGAAACAGTCACAGCTTGACGACAGATCACAACCTGAGTGTGCTGAGAACTCACGGTGTTGACCACCTCAGCTACAGTGAGCTCTGCCAGCTTTTGTTTCAGAATGACCCCTGGCTTTTGCCAGAGGTGAGTTCCAGGAGGGGGTGTGTATGTGTGTAAGTGATGGGGGAGAAGCCAGAAGGTTGGAAGATAGGAAATATTACGGCAGAAGAGAAGCCAAGGACCCCATAGTGACCACTGGGATCTGCTTGGAGGAGACCTGGATTGCATTCGTGGCTCTGCTGATTTTTATACCTGTGACCTTGGGCCAAACTTGGCCCGTCTGGAAGCCTCCTTTCCTTCTATTGTGTTTGGGCTGGCACCTCCTTTGCCGGGCTTCTTTGAGGTTGGGGGAGTCTGGCCGGTGGCTGGAGCAAGATGTTCCTTACATAGGGATGAGGGGATGAGAGACTCCCAGCCGGCTCCTCCCCATCTAGCAGGACTTGAAACCACGTGTTATTGCCAGACCCAGGGGGTCTGTCTGTGAGGAACTTTTTTAAGAGATGCTGACAGGCAGATGATGCTCTCTATACTAAGTCAGCTGCACCTAGGGAATTTTGAACTTTTGTTGATGTGGATTCTCATAATGCATTTCAGATGTTACCCAAATCTCGCTGCAGTGACTATGTACTAGTTTGGGTCCTCTGAGAAGCAGACACCAAGATGGGATCAAAGTGCAAGAGATGGAGTGGAGAGGGAGCAGAAGGTGGGGAGCCTCTGGGCAGTGATGTGGCAGGACTGGGGAAAGGAAGAGGCCTGGGTAGGAAGAGACCCTGACTGTAGCACAATTCAGGAGAGCTTCTGCCTGGCCAGTGGGAAGTTCTGAGCTAAAGTAGCTCATTGTTGCCTGGCAGCAGCCTATGGGAGCATGGTCTCTGTGTGAATAAGATGGTGGCTCCCGAGGGCAGCAGCAGATCTGAGCGGTGTGTCCTGTGGACAGCACAGGTTTGTGGGATGCTCTGGCACTGTTTCTGGGGTAAGGCTACAGAGATTAGATTGACCTGTTTTAATGAAAATGCTTCCGTATTATTCAATTAAAACCACCCATTTGAGAAAGGCGCTACATGGCTTAGTGATGGGCACATAATAGGTATTAACTTTTTCCTTTTGCCTTTTGAAAATTAGTATTGATTTAATTCAGCTAAACTTTATTGACTATCCACTATGGGTTAGGCACTGGTGAGAAGGAGAGAAAAGACCCTGTTCTGCCCTTCCAGGAGGCACATTTACTGGGTGAGACAGACAAGTCAACATGTGATTGCAAGGCGCTGTTGTAGATGCTGCAGTAGAAGTCAGCACTCTGGTCTCTGGGGCACAGTTGGGGCGCCTGGGAAGGCGTCCTGGGTAGATGGGGCATGCTCTGAAGGCTGAAGGATGCATGAAGGATGCAGGTCTGGGAAGAAGGGGGCACAGAGAGGATGGAACTGGCATGGTCAGGGGACAGCATGTAGGTCAGCACAACTTGGATTTAGGATGGGAGAGGGAAGGAGGAGAAATGGGTGAATGGAGACTCATCCATGCAGCCTTCAGTATCATGGGAAGGGGTTGGGTTTGGGGGTTGTGTTTGGAGAGTGGGCATTAATGTTTTGGAGAGATCATCTTGTCAGTATGAAAAATGAATCAGAAAGTGACCAGTCTGGAGTGTGTAGCCTCTTGTGTACTTGGGTGTGCAGGTTGCTTCAGAACACAGTGCCAGCAACTGGGAGTTGTGACCATAAATTCGGACCCAGTGCAGCTTTCCTGCCAGGCCTTCTGCTCTCAGGCTAGTCACCTTATCAGATGAGCAGTCGGGGGCTACCACCATGAATGGAGCACCTGCTATGTTCCAAGACGTTTGTATTAGCCACTTTGTGTATTTCCCATTTAATCCTCATGATAGCCTAGTGATGTAGGTGGCATTATTCCCATTTTAGGGATTAAAAAGCTGTAACTCAGAGCTAGTGAATGGCCTGCCTAAAGTCAGGCATCTTGTAAGTGGCAAAATCAATGTTAGGGCCTTTTCCCTTGGGGCTTCCATCCCCAGAGTGGAGTTCCTACTGATTTAAGTCTGGGTTCTGCAGCCCTCTGCTTCATTTCTACCTCTTGTTTAGTGTAATGCCTGTGAATTGCATAGGTAGGCCCTTGGTGGTCTCTGGCCTGTTCTCATCTCCAGGAATTTGGAATGTAGAGAAGGAGCAGTTGGTTCAAGTTCAAGTCCCAGCTTTACCAACAACCCAATTCAACAGACGTTGTACATGCCAAATGTAGATAGCTGTGTGACCTAGGGCAAGCTGGTGAACTTCTCTGAGTTTCCATTTGCTCCTGAGAAATGAAAGGACTGTATTTGGCCTTCTCTAAGATGCTTTAAATACTCAGAGCCTCTTTGACCCTGAATTTCAGAAAAAGGAAGATGGTGAGATGAGGCCTGGCTTAGAGAGTGTTGGTGAGTCAATGGGGGAAGGTTGTAGGTGGAGTATGAGGGTTGTTAGCATGCTGCTATGTGAGTTACATTGAAATGTTTCCTATGAAGGGAGCAGCTCTGATCAGTTGGAAGTTCTTTGGATTTTCCCAGTGGAAGGGCTTATTCTGTACATTCTGTCTACCCAGTTCCCATTTTATCCAAGGGCATACATTAGCAGCCGTCCATCTAGAGTGGGGGATGTTCTCATAGCTCTGTGGCTTGTGAGGATGACAGAATCACAGCTTTGGCTACGTCTTTAGAGGAACCTCTTGTGACTGTGCGCTGGTCAGGAGGGAGGGTGGTGTCCTGTGAGGCCTTCCTAAGCTAGTGTTTTTTCCTTTTCTGTCAACAGATCTGTCTTCATTATAACAAAGGAGATGGACCATACGGCTCTTGTTCCTTTCAAAAGCAGTGTATCAAACTCCATATTTGCCAGTATTTTTTACAGGGCGAATGCAAGTTTGGCACTAGCTGTAAGAGATCACATGATATCTCTAATGCTGAGAATCTGGAAAAACTGGAGAAGCTGGGCATGAGCTCAGATCTGGTGAGCAGGCTGCCTTCCATTTACAGAAATGCTCATGACATCAAGAATAAGAACTCCACCCCCAGCAGAGGGCACCCTCCTACCCCGGGCCCACAGGGGACTTCTGGTAAGGCTCTGGACTGGGACGCTTGGATTCCACATTAATGGAATGTGTGACCTCGGGCTAGTCTGTGCTGCTTTTAGTAAAGTGCAGTTGATGATTTCTTCCCAGCTAGTGGGCGTTATGAAGATGAGTTGAAATCATAGCCATGAACAAGCAAGATATTCTAGACAAATGCCAATTCATGTTGACTATGAATGAATTCCCGACAGGTCTGATCTGCAGTGAATGAAGCCTATTTTAATTTCAGCTCTCTTCTTGACATGAATAAAGGGAATTTTTTAGTCCCTGTAAATTTGCTTAGTTCACTACTCCTCTCCAGCACCTAGACAGTGCCTGGCCCACAATGGGCACTCAGGCATTTGTTGAATGATCAAGAGTCTAGATTTTTTTTTTTTTAAGGAATATCAGGTTTAGTGACAGGCAAATGGGGGAAATTTTGAGCAGAGATTGCTTATTAAATAAGCATTTCTTTACCTATTATGTGGGAAATTAATAATGTAGTCCATTGGAGAAGTTATGACACATTGGGGTCCTTTGAATTTCACAGTATCAGCTGTTGGCTGGCCATTCTGGTTATCTGTTCTTTCAGTTAACAAATTTGTGTGCTTGCCACGTGCTAGCCACTGGCCTGGGCCCTGGTTATACATTGAAGACTAGGACACAGGGCTTCCCCCCGCCCCCTCACCCCCAGAATGTACAATCAAACCATTTGTTGGCTGTAGGATTTTAATAGACCTTTAATAGGGGTTATCTAGGATTTTTATTAGACCACTTCCTAAAATATCAGGTGAGTGCTAGGACTACCAGCAAACAAACTTAACACTCTAATCTTACCTGATTATTATATTTAAAAATTGTCCTTGCCATATGTGTTTTTTTCTTTACATTTTCTTCAGTTATTTTGGGTTAATTTCTTTCAATTGTGGGAAGCTAGAGGTAGACAGGTTTTGCTTTAAATATATCTTTAAGAGTGTCAATTGGATTATGGCCTTAGAAAGGGAGGGAAAGCTACCTGCCCTTGGGGAGCAAGGGAGGTGACCTCAAAGGCTCCAAAGGTGTGGGTTTTGAGTCCCACCCTGTGGGTGTCTTGAGGGGCCTATAAAAACAAAAAGGGAAATGAATAACAAAATAACAGGTGTTACTGAATACTGAAGGTTTACGAATGAGTTTTATGTGCTTGTATGGTGGGGGGGCGGTGGTAAATGTAATTGTTAGGTAAAGTCTCATTAAAGCACTACTGGGAGAGAGAAACTTTGAAATCACCTCCGTGCCTGTTTTATATTAAAATTCTTATAATTAACCTAAAGTTACTTCAGGAGGTTTCATTTTAAGATTAGGAGCATAGCCAGAGCTGAGAAAAAAGGGTCCCTCCACAGCATCCTGGATTTGGAAAGCTGCCGTGTGGTATTGGGCTCCCTGGCTCCTCCCTAAAAAGCAGAGGGTCCACTTACATGTCTGAGGGTAATTTCATCCTGAACATCACAGGATTTTGTAGGATTGCCTCGCCCACTTTTGTCTTCTGCAGAGAAATGAATTCTCTTTTCTCTCCTTTGTATCTTGAACTATGCTGACTCCACATCAGAAGCTTTGATGGATGCTGATACGTATTTGTGGTGTTTCTTTGTAGAAAGAAGAGATAGTTCAGGTTCTGTGTCCCCAAACACAGCTAACCAAGAGGAGAGTGATCAGATCTGCTTGTACCATATCCGAAAAAGTTGTAGCTTTCAAGGTAAGTCAGAGGAAGCCCCTTCATCGACTTGCAGGTGGGACAGCTGCTTCTCATTTCAAGAGTTCTGCCCTAAGGCTACCCTTCAAGGTCTTCTCCCCCATCCTGAGAGGGTTAGGGCCTTCTTAATTGTGAGCTGGGGTGGCATTTCTGCCAACCAATTTTACTGGGGAGTTGAGGATGGTAAGAATTTAATTTCTGGAAATCAGACTATAGGTGAGTTTTTGGGAACATACCGGATTCATGCAGCAAGTGTCAAGTGTTGCTGACCCTTGATCGCTTTGCATGAGGTCACAGACCTGCACAGATAGTGGGAACAGTCTGGTGGGAACAAATATGAGTGTCCCTCCTAAAGGGTAGTTGTAGACTTAGAAATGCCTCAGAAACCCAGAAAGCCCTCCCCGAGGAGGAGATGCCCCTGTGTGCTCTTGGGGAACAAGAACTTAAGTTAGGGGTTTCTCTCCATGGTCCCTCTTTTATCAGAAGTAGCAATTCTTGTGTGTACATGTGTATCTGTATTTTCACTAAACCTTTGTTTTCTTCTTCTTCTTGTCCTGGGCTTTGACTGAAGAAAGCTTCCTTCTCAAATTTGGTGACTCTTAAAAAAACAACCACCAAACTTCTTGTTTCGTTTTCAGTCTTTAAAAGCCACCCAAGCAATTCAGGACTACTTTCACTTTGTAAAAGAGTCCAATAATACAGAGTAAAGTCTGAAGCCCTCCTTCAGCCTTCCCCAAAGGTAAACACGTGCTGTGTGGTCATGATGCTTGTTTTGCATATTTTTCAACAGATGGGTACATGTGATAGGTACTCCTTAACGTGCTTTCTTTACTTAACATTGTGTCTTGGGGATTTTTTTCCACCTTAGTGTGTGTAAGTCCACCTTATTTTTAAAAGCAACTGTAGTATCCAGTTAGAGTGATATTCCACTGAGCATCTGAGTACGCATGTGTATTTCCATACCTCGGTTCCTGGAAGCTGGAATGCTAGCTCAAGCATATATGTGTGTCATATATACATGTATGTTGTTTTTTTTTTTTAAAGAATTTATTTATTTGACAGAGAGAGATCACAAGTAGGCAGACAGGCAGGCAGAGGGAGAGGGAGAAGCAGGCTCCCTGCTGAGCATGGAGCCCGATGGAGGGCTCCATCCCAGGACACTGGGATCATGACCTGAGCCGAAAGCAGACGCTTAACTGAGCCACCCAGGTGCCCCTACATGTATGTTTTTATTTATTTATTTATTTAAAGATTTTATTTATTTATTTGAGAGAGAGTGAGAGAGACAAAGAGCACAGGAGGGGGGAGCGGGAGAGGGAGAAGCAGACTCCCCGCTGAGCAGGTAGCCCGATGCGGGAC